TTAAAAAAAAAAAAAAAAGAATTTAACAGTTAAATTTAGAATAGCCTAAATCGTAAAGGAAAGGAAAAGTGAATAAATCTTTCACAAAAAAAGCAACAAGGATAAATTTTAATTAAATATATCAGCTACCACTTCTTCATGATTCAAAGTGAATTTTAAATAGAGATCTAAATTTCTCCAAAGATATTCTAGTTAAACATAAAACATTTGTAAACAAAAATTCACAATGGCAGAGACAGGCTGCTTGTCAGTCCCGTTTCTCTTTCTGGGCCTCAGTAAGACTGCATACCATACCCCTCCCTTTCTTGCAGTTAGTGACGTCTACGTGATTGGGTTCTGGTCAGTGGAATGTGGGCAGAATTGATGGATGTCACTTCCAAAACTAGCTATAAAACAACCTGTACAATTCTGCGTGTTTTCTCTCCTTCCTTCTTAGCTAGGCAGATGAAAGAGATACAGTGGCGCACTCACAATAGTCTCTTGGGGTCCACAAAGTCAAGTCACCCTCTGGAACAGATCTGCCCTGTTCACATCTGCCGTGAGCAAGAAAAAAAATCCCTTGTTGTGCTAAGTCACTGGCAAGGGGTGGTCGCTTGATATAGCCACTAGCACCAAATACATAAATTAATATAGAAAATAAAAGTTAGTATCTCACCTCCCTCTTAAAAGAGACACTGTAATCACCTTCTTTGAAATGCTCAATGTATTTTAAGTTGACAGACACCAAAGATGTCATCTGGCTGATCTATTTTCTTGGTGCCAATAACCACACACTGCCACCAATGAATGAAACACTTCAAAACATCCAGACTCGGAGCAATATACCTTGTAGAAAGCAGGAGCATGGAATTCTGTGTTGCTATGACAACACTAGTGTAATTCCATCTCAAAAGGATCACTAGTTCCCGTATAGAATATAAACTTCTCTTCCAAGCAAGGTTTTTAAAATGTTCCATGCCGCAAGGAAAGTATTGAATATCTCGAATGAAGAGGGGGAAATCCGAGGGGGAGAGGAACCATGAGAGACTGTGGACTCTGAGAAACAAACTGAGCGTTCTAGAGGGGAGGGGGGTGGGGGGATGGGTTAGCCTGGTGGTGGGTATTAAAGAGGGCACGTACTGCATGGAGCACTGGGTGTTATACGCAAACAATGAACCATGGAACACTACATCAAAAACTAATGATGTAATGTATGGTGATTAACATAATATAATAATAATAAAAAAACTCACTTCAAATAACAGATTACATCCTTGATACCATCAATAATACCAACTGCAAGTAAGAAGCCACTCTGGTTTCTTCAGATGTCCCCAAAATGAGTGCCAACAACAGAATCAAACTTCAGATGGTCTGTCATTTATGCCACCAGGAAATAAAGTAGCTTTTCCTTCGGTGGTAACAATCGTGAAAGTCCAGTGGTTTCCTCAAAATGAAATGTTTTGATCTACTAAACTAATTTCATGAATAAACTCATATCTCAAAAGTCTTGATGTTTTAAATAAATACAAAATTACATGATACTGCTGTTCTTTGAGGCTACATGATAGCAATACTATAGATATATATTATTTTGGAATTATAAGTAACCCTACAGATCATTCAATCCAAATTCTCCATATTGTGGATTAGGAAATTAAGACTCATTCATGCTTAGTGACCCAATCACAAGACTAATTAATACTAGTCTGTATTAATTAATACTGTTTTTGTACTACTGCACTGTTGCTACTATTTTTACACTGTACAGTGTTTTCTGTTAAAAATAAGCAAAGTACCCACATTTCCAGCCATTATTTTAGAATGCTTATATGATCAATACCGTAATCTCTAGGGATTTAAAAAAATATATTTTGGTAAGATTCTACTTCAGTGTGTAAAAGTAACTTGTAATCTTTTTAACTATAAGGAGTTTAATGAAAAAATAAATTGATCTTTTAACTGTTTCAAAATCTTCCTTGTCCTTTAGTGTCTTATGAAAAACCTGAAACTGTAAGACTTTATCAAGTTTCTATTAATTGTAAAAAAAAAAACTATCTTATCTAATGAAAACTGTTTATTATATATCCAATTATAAATATAAAATAAATTTAAATACACAGCTTTATTATCCCAGTTGTGTATATTAATTGAGCTAACCAACATTAAAGTCTTATTTTAATGAATAGTTGAGAATGACTTTAATTAAATTACTGATGTACCTGAAATGTAATTTAGATATTTATTTCATAAATAGCAATTACACTATATGTTTAGAGCATTTCTAAACTGGCTGAAAATAATTAGTTTACCTAATTAGGAAGATGTACCATTCAAATGTCACTTACTATTAATTTTCTTAGCAAACTTTTTTTCATTAAGAACATAAAGGTAAATTTCAGCTAAATCCCTCTTCAAATTAATGTAAATTCATAATGAATGAAATTCTAGGTAAAATATTTTTGTATATTAGAGACAACATTTAAATGACAGAAAATAATAAGCATGTGAGAAAATATTTATCATGCTATTTTTTTAAAAGATTTTATTTATTTGACATTAAGAGACACAGCAAGAGAGGGAACACAAGCAGGGGGAGTGGGAGAGGGAGAAGCAGGCTTCCCACCAAGCAGGGAGCCCGATGCGGGGCTCGATCCCAGGACCCTGGGATCATGACCCAAGCCAAAGGCAGACACTTAACGACTGAGCCACCCAGGTGCCCCTATCATGCTATTTTCTAAAATGAAAAGAATAGGGAAGCTTAAAGAAAAGAGTTTATAAACAAATATATCCTTTTCCACAAACCCCCTGTCAACTCTATTTTTTAAGCTTCAGCATTATAGAACAATATAGAAACTAGATCTATTTCAATATTCTGCTCCAATTAATTACTCAGATATTTGATAAAGGTAGATGGGCAAAACTGTGGACAGAGGCAAACATACAGACAGATAATGTATGGGTTTCCCATCTCTCATGGGCACCACAACCTTCTTTTTAGGAAGTTTTTGTTTCCTCTCTAACTATCCACCTTCTATCACAGCCCAGAACAGTCAGATCATAAGGCAGATCAGCTACCTCCCAGATTCCCTTATCACCACCACCAAAAAAAAAAAAAAAAAGTTAAAAAATAGATAGATCCAGTCTTACTGCCCCTATTGGCCATATAGCATTAGGAACAAGAGCTAAAAAAAAAAAAAAAAAAAAAAAAAAAACAGCAAACACGCAAAAAACAGAAGGAATAGGATACATACCAGTCAGCTCATCCACTATGCCACCATATCTAATTTGATGCTTATTTAACAAATGTTAATTTTGTTAACAAATGTTAAATTTAATCCTTCCTTGATTTAACAGTTTTTCCATCCTGGCAAAGTTAGTATAGCATTGAAAAGACATTATAATTCCCATATTTGTTCACAAAATAGAAATAATAAATACCCAAAATGCAAAAATAATTTTAGGAGCAGGAGATCTACAAGTTGTCCCTTTACCAAAATAAAAAGACAGGGTGTCTGGGTGGCTCAGTCAGTTAAGCAACTGCCTTCGGCTCAGATCATGATCCCAGGGTCCTGGGATCGAGCCCCAAGTCTGGCTCGCTACTGAGTGGGGAGTCTGCTCTCCCTCCCCTTCTCCCTCTGCCCCTCCCCTCACTCACGCTCTCTCTCTCTCAAAATAAATAAATAAATAAAATCTTTTAAAAAAATAATAAGACAGTCTATTTGGACACATACCTGTGTTGAGTTACTGACAGAATGACATAAAAATGATTCATGATAATAATAATAATAATCTGGACTATATACTGGCCCAGGATGTTTGTCTCTATCTCAGTGTAAAAGTTCTTAACACAATCCCAAAATGCTGTAAGTTTTCTGTGGTTTCACTTTGGTTTGGTTTGGTTCAATTTCCGAATAATGCTTCTGCCCACATAATATGATGGGAACCAGTAATCAATATTAATGTGAAAATTCAAAACTTAAACTTCATTTTAAAAATTATTTCTAGTGGCACCTTGGTGGCTCAGTCATTAAGCATCTGCCTTCAGCTCAGGTCATGATCCCAGGGTCCTGGGATCGAGTCCCACATCAGGCTCCCCGCTCAGCAGGAAGCCTGCTTCTCCCTCTCCCACTCCCCCTGCTTGTGTTCCCTCTCTCGCTGTGTCTCCCTCTGTCAAATAAATAAACAAAATCTTTAAAAAAAAGAAAAATAAAAATTATTTCTATTTTTAATATAATCAGAAGATCAAATTGTCCCAACACTACCATCATCACTCTCTCTCTAGAATGCCAACATTTAACACCAGCGTGGGGATTTAGGAACCAATCCACCTCTGCCAGTTAAGTGGCCTTGATGAAGAGGTTGCCTATTGCTTTTCCCTCTGTCTCCTTCCTCCTTCAACTCTTTGCTGTAACTTAGCCTGAGCACATCAGCATTTCTCTATAGAAAAGCAGCAGTCATCTTTGAAGATATTTGATGTGCAAAATTGAAAACTAACGAGGTGAGAAAGATTAAGGGTTGTGAGTAACTCATCAGCTAGGAACTAAACAGGAGTAAATGAGTATAAAATGGCTTCGAAATATGTGAAAACAAATGGTTGTACTCTGGGTATTACTGATTAAATTTTCAAGCACTAAAAGAAAATAATGCTTCTAAAACTCACCCCTCAAAACTAATTTCAGAATTTCCATTTGACTCCCTTCTGGATGTGTCTTATAACATTAGCTTGTGTAAGGAAGGAACTATAAGCAGCTTTTCTCACACTCTGGCCAATGTTTAGTGCTTGTCCAGTGCTAGTCCCTGAGGGACACTGGCCAGGTCCCCTGGCTTTTCGTTTCCCCTAAGGAAGAATATTAGACACCATGCTAGATTAGAAGCCCAATGACTAAGAAATACAGAGAAAAGGGCATCCATGACTCTTGAGCAATAAATACCTCAGGTTTGATTCATAAATGAGTAGTATGATTTATTTGATTTGAATTTAGTTGGTAAGAAAGGGATAAAATTTTTTAACCCATAAGATTTAAGATATCTGTTGTTACTTGAAGAGAGAAAACTGAGAACAATAAAATCTAATTCTCTCACCTTTACCAAGGCACAGAAAAAATCCAAACAGACTAGGATAACAGCCAAAGAATTGAAGTAAAATCTACCAGGTAAGTCATGAAATTTATAGATTCCCTTCCTAGCTGAAGAGAATTTAAGAATGTAAATGAATCTAATTATAAAATAATACATAAGTTTCTGGATCTCATGAAATATTTTAAGGGTTCTATAATATGGTTGGACATACTCTAAGAACGAATTTGTGTATTAAACAGACATGTTTATGAGTTTGTGTAACTCTGCAATATGTTATATAAAGGTTTCACCTTATATTTTTCACTTGGTCAACAAATATTTCAGAGATAGTTACTGCTATTCAGAAGTTTAAATATTGTTCATAAGAACATTCGGTAAAATGGAATGCCTCAGATAAACAGTAGCACATAAAGAGTTTTGTGAGAAAAAAAGGCATAAAAATTAATAAAATATAGACACCTGAACAGCATTTTTAATGCAGTGGGAAAATGCCATATTGTGTACATACAGCATTTGAATAAATAAAACACTATGTATACCACAGAGATCTCTATATAAAACCAAAGCCTTTGATAACTGACCCCAAAGATCTCTGTGCATACTTAAGCCTATTATATTGTTGTGTTTGTGAAAATTAGTTACTCAAATCATTCTGGGTAGCCCTGAGAATATCTGAGAGCCTGCTTTTTAGAAAGAAAATGAACAGTCACACTCAACAGACAGGTTAAAAATGACAACAGCATTCTCTTTGCTTATTCCTTCCCCTCGTTATTTCTTGCTGGTTGAGGTATGGAAGTAAGTAAAAGAAACAAGTCCTTCTCCAAAGATGTTTATGTGCTCTAAAAGCTACCAAGAATTTAACTAAGTGCCACCTGCTTTGTCTGTAGAAGCTTTAAAAAAAAAAAATTCTTAAAGGACTGCTTAGTTTTCATAGATACTTAGAGTCTCCTAGATCAACCCTTAAGAAAAGCCAAGAATGTTTCCCATATTCCCATCATTAGCTTGTCTCTGTTTGACTTCTAAAGACTGCAATTCTCAAGGCAGCCAAGGACCACAAAAAAAAAAAAAAAAAAAAAAGGTAGAAAGCAGAGAAATATTAGAAAAGAAAATAAGCAAACAGCCTCAAAAAGATTTTTTTTAAGTGAGAAGACAGTTGTTTAGAAGTATGTTTCTCTATTTTTCACTTTGAGATTATTATAATTTCACTTCCTGGGATCTTTCCTTCCTCTTTATCTGACTACCATTATATTGCTTCTTAGCCCTGAGATAATAACCTACCCCATGTGCCTCGCATTTGGGTGCATGTCAGGTCCTGGAGTCTCACCCCTTGGCCTGCCCTCTTTGATACCCATGCCCTATGCAAACAAAACCACACCTTCAGATATCACATGGCCTCAGCCCAGAGAGACAGAGCCTTGGCCATTATATCAAAAATCGATTTTTGTCTTCCTGTCAAATGTGGGGTTTTGATATTTTGCCCATATTGTCAACTAATACTAACACAACACCAGGAAACCAGTAAGCTCTACCAACAGAGATGCCCAAGTTTGTCTGGTGGCCACTCTAGTTACCATTTCTTTTTAAGAGAATTTACAGTAATAATTCTTGTGTCCTTTGTGAAGACAAAAAGAAAGGGATAAGGAAGATTGGCAATTCAAACAGCTTTATCTAATTATTTCAGATAGCAGTACCCTCCCACTAGCTATTTCTATTTCTGATTATTTTATTTCCTTCTTAAAATTCATCTTTAATGAAAAAACACAGACAATTCAGAATTTTTACCTAAATAAGTTCCTATATGAATCCTTTTGTTTTCTTTTACTCCCAGAAATAGAACAATAGTTCGAACTGAGGAAAGAACAAAGCAGATCACCATTCTTAACCTTCATCTGCTAAATTTCTCTAAAAACCCCCAATTCAAAAACATATAACTTGCACTTTTACTTTCTAGTTCTTTGGTATCTGTAGAATGCTTTCCAACACATTATACACTGTTGTACATATTAACTGTATTTTTAACTTAAATATATCTTTTTTGATTAATAGTTTAAGCTCGTAGGCCATTCATTATCTGAAGTAAGCAAAGGAGTCCTTGCAACCACGGTTAATATCATAGGGAAAAGAGATTTTTCAATAAATAGACTTGATACACTATGAGACTGAGGACCTCTGCTGGCAATTTTGAGGCATTATTTTTTTAACCGTGATAATACTGACAGGAGAGAAGGTGAAGGTATCTACTTAATCTGACCTATGCCTTTTTACGTAGAATCCTTCAACTGCCTTCCTAAAACTTCATTTACTGTTCCTGTCACATCTTGAGCAACTTGAGTCTACAACTTCCAGAGCAGTTGCTTTACTTTTTGAAAAATATACATGGACGGTAAGAGTACCAGATAAAAATATTAATTTCGATATTGATGTTTTAAAGCAAATTAAATTTGTTAACTGATAATGCCTTAATCTTTCTTCTACATGGTAGTTACATATACATATATATGTATATGAAGGTATATATAGAGAGAGAGACAGACAGGCATATATAGATACATCTTCATGATCTAGAAGATGAAATTCAGTATCAAAAGTGAATAAAATTTTAATAACATAATTACTAAGGTATTTCTCATTTTTTCAGAAACTAAACTTATTTCATATGTAATACGTACCTAGATATCCCTGGAAGCCCAGGTCCAGAGCAATTTTTTAAACCTTGAAAATGCAATCAGCCTGGTTTCCCTTCACTCCACTTCACCACTAATGTCACTTACTGGCACATTCCATCTATTATTTGTAAATTCATAGATTATTATAACTGAAAGAAACCTTAGAAGCCGTGTAGTCTCACCTTTTCATTTTACAAAGGAAAAAAAAAATCTGAGGTGAACAACAGCCTCTACCTACTCTTGCCAAGTCAAGGCAAGATGAACAAACAACACTTCCTCGGACCATATGGAATTCCAGCCTCTCTGTAATCATGTGAAATAGTGTGAGGCATTATATATTAAAATATAGTTGTAACTTTAACAGCTATTGTCAAATTGTATATGTATGTGTGTGTGTGTGTATATATATATATGTATATATATATATATATATATGAAAAGTGTCAGCATGTTGCAGAACAAATGGGAAACATGTCATTGTTTCATTAGCAGAAATTACAAGTATGTTCCGCCACCAGTGAACAGAGGCTGAAGTTTCCTGTGAAGAAGGAGAAGGAAGCAAAGTGGAGGTGCCACTGAGGTGATTTCGACATGTTAGGTGCCAGGGGAGTGTGGGCCTGTCAAGTGTCAGCTGCTTATGCAGCTTTTCTCAAAAGAAAGAGTCAAATGTCTCACTCCCTGACTCTTCTGTTTATCAACTACACTCAATGGTTCATACTGAACTGGACTGGTGGATATTTATTAAAGGAATCCCATCCCAATACCCATGTATCCGGGTATTAAGTTCCCAGGATATCAAGTGATCAATATGATATGAGTCAGAGAAGTCGAAGCAAGTTTCCTGGCCACCTGCAAAAGAGCCTTAAAAGTGTTTCTTGAGATGGATCAAATCTGAAATTACTTCTTCTCGTCATTCTGAATAAGCAGTGGTAAAAATGTGTTGGAAAGATAGTGCATGCCTACGTGTACGTGTGCATTTGCGTATGTATGTGTAAGTATATATGTTTGCATGAATGTTGTTCTATGATTATCAGTGAAAAATCAGACCTCTGAGCCCATGTGTACATTGTTCTAAGTCTTTCTCTCTAAAACCATGCATTTGTAGATACGCCTTTCTCATTTTGTTTGGAGAGGGGACACAGTCATAATCTTCTCTCACTTACAAAGACAAAAACAAAAAACCAAGACTGGAGAGAAGTTGTGAAACCTAGAGAAGACCCAAGACTGAAACTCAGGTCTCTCTCCTCTAAATCTGATCCTCTCTCGACTCCACCATACCAGAGAATCATAATCAGAGAAAAGCTACTAGAGTGAAGAAGGGCTTATGGTATTGAAATAAGGAGTAATGTCTTTTTAAACGGGCATTTAACATTATACACAGCCCTTTCACATATATTATCTCATTATCGTCTCATTTAATAAGAAGTGAGTGGAAATAGGGCAGAGGGTTGTTCGTGGATAAAAAGGAAATAAGAAATCTTTCTCCCTCCTTTCTCCCGCATTGGTATCACTTTCTGAAGTTTAGCTACGATCAAGTGCCTGCTTGAAATCTTCAGTAGAGCTTCAGCTCCTGGCAAAGAGTGAAACAAGTGGGTCCCAAACCCAACATCCATTACTCTCGGGCTCTGCCAGTGGCTTTCTAAGACTCCAAGGAAGAGATTTGTGGCATAATTTAGAAGAAATGTATTCTTTATTCCATCAGTCTCTTTAAAAGCATCATTTTTGGTTGGGCTTCTTTACTTGAGACATCTAATTTTATATTACAAAAGACTAAAGAACCTTAATAAAATTCAGCCATAGGAAAGATTATTTTGAGTAGAGATAGTAGATACCACAGAGGACTCTGCTAGATGTTCCCAAAGCAGTGACACAAAATGATCTAATGGGAATGAAATTTAGAAGAATGAACACCTTAAGAGAAATTTACTATCATACTTGTAGAATTCTGAGACTTTTTTTTAGCATTAGTTAACCTATAATGCATAATACCTTTGATGCTGTTGTTTTTCTAAAGTAGGTTGTTACTAAGAAAATGATATGGCTTATAATCCATAGCAAAGCAAAATAAAGGAAAAATGACACCTACAGATGAACCTAATAAATGTTTCAGAAATGTGTGTCTAAAGAGACTCAGGGAAAAACAAGATCCTTCAAAATAACAGGGGTCATGACTAAACATACTATCCTCTATTTGAAGAAAAATATGTTGGCAGAGGGAAGTGTCCTACCAAAAACTTAAGGTGTAGAGTCAAAGAAGATGGATGCGTAAGTTCACTTCCAAAGGACATTGCTCCAAAGGATGTCTCTCATCATGTGGCAGGTGCAGCCCATGTCATTTGGAGAACAGCAGGCCTAATGGCCTCAGATTAGACCTCTTGTTCTGATTCCAAACTGCATTAATCAGAAACATTTCAAATGTGAGTGAAAAATAATCAACTCAAGGATACTTAAGTAGAAAAGGGAACTTTTTTGATTAAAACATCCGGTTAGAACATTTATGGATGGAGCTGGTCTCAGGCTCTTCAAGAATTCAAACATTGTCATCTGTTCTTCCTTACTTGTTCTCTACTCTTGTCCCCTCCAACATCCAGTCTCCGAGCTCTACCTTTCTTTGTGCATTTACTTCATTACTTTTCTCTGACACAGAGGACAGAGGTCCTTACTTAACATGATCTAAGAGGAAAAGGAAAGCTCTTTTCTCTCATACACTTTATATTGGCCTAGCTTGGGCCATTCAAGGCTCTTTTTTTTTTTTTTTTTTTTTTAAAGTCAAACACTATAGCTGAGGGAAATGGGGTATTATGACAGGCACACTCTAGGTTCCATTCCCACCCATGGGCTGTTAGAGGGACATTGTTATTGGCATTAATTCATATTCTAAATTCTCTCTTGGCATGAACATGCTAGGTATATGTTACATCCCTAGGACAAGTGGAAGGAATCATAGGACAAGCCACTGAAAAAGAAGGAACCCAGGGGAAACATAAAAGTCATCAATTCTGTCAAAAGTGGAGCTCAGATTGCTAAATGCTCATGGAAAACAGAGATAAAAAACAAGGAGACAATTCTAAGGAGATGAGTTGATGAGAAGGTTTCCCCTCCCATCTGCAGGATTTAGTGTCTGTTGTATTCTGGAGGCGACCCTGCAAAACCAAGTCTGCAGCATTCCTAGAAGAAGCTATATTCAGCGTCTCCTCAGCTCTCTCAAATCGCAAACAAATAAGCCAAATGTTTCTCGACCCTATGTCCTACTTAGATAGACAATATTGTCTGCTTCTGTCCTTAGACTTTCCAAAAGCAGTCTATAATCATTGTGTCCACTTTTGGACCTCTAAGTCACCCTTCAACCCACTCCACTGTGTCTTGCCCCTCTGCCACGCCTTTGAAGTAACAGTCACTGATTTAATCAGTGACATTTTTATCCACAATCCCAATGGGAGTTTTTCAATTTGGCATCACTGGACTTTGGTGAGGCCTTTGACAAAATGGATTGCTATCATCTTCTTGACACTCTATCCTTCCTTGCCTTTTGTGTTAGGGAAGGATTGATTAAGAGGAACAGAAAGCTTTAAAACAAAAGCAATATATATAAAAATTCCAAGGCACAAGGGAAGTAGTTCAAAGATTTAAAGGACAGCCATTGTGAATGGAATATAGATAGTGTGGGCAAGCATACCAGAGGAGCTGGAAAGATGGGTAGAAACTAGGTCATGAAGACCATTTTTAAGACTTTAGATTTTATCCTAAGAAGAAAGGATAAAAATTGAGGAGGGATATTAATCTAATTTGTTCTTTTAAAGACTTCTCTGGCTGTAGTAACCAAAAAAAAAAAATTGGTGGAGTGAAATGTGTGCACAGACCACATAGGAGGTTATTATAATAGTTCAAGTAAAAGATGATAGTGCTTTAGAGTGGGTTGGTGGTGGTGGAGATGAAGAGGAGTAGCTGGATGCCTTTTTATCTGGTTTTATTCTGACTTTTCTGGCCACTTCTTTTTTCCAAGTGATTCCCAATTTACCATTCCTAAAATATTGATGTCACCCAAGATTAATTTTTTCCATATTTGAACCTACCTTTTTTATTCTATTCCACCATTGTTTCTAAATTAGACACATAATTAATATCACCTATGTAGATTTCAAAATAAAAATAGATTCAGAACTTGTTTCTTCTAGCATTTGGCATGTGAGGTGGACATGAGAATATGCCTCTCAGATCTGACTGCAGGGAGTCTAAGGCCTTCACATCACTGAGGACCCCAGTTGCTGCACTCTGAAACTGTCCCATTAGTGTTGAGGCCATGACAGACGTCAGGCATCTCCATAGTTAATTAACTTCTTCTACTTTTAACCCTATCTTGGCAACTGTTTCTTAAATGACCCAAATCAACCCGGCTGTACAAAAAGTAAACCAAGGTAAAGGCAGTCAGACCAAGATTTTAGGGCTCCTGCATAACCTCACAGTCATGAGATCGACCTGGGTCGGGCTCCATGTTAGGCATTGAGACTGCTTAAGATTTTCTCTCTCCCTCTGCCCCCCACCACACACCCCATGCATGCATGCTCTCTCTCTAAAATAATAATAATAATAATAATAATAATAATAATAATAATTAAATTAAATTTAAAATAAATTTAAAAAATATTTGGACTAGTTACCTACTACCTGGCAATTGAATAGGATGTCATCCTGGTTAGTAGGGAGACACAGATTGTCCTTAACACAGGTGGCAGCACAAATGTTAAAATTTCAACAGTAGTAAGCTGGGAAAATGTCCCAGTGGAAGAGAATGCTATGCCATGTGCAATGGTGCGCATTTGAAAAACAATCCTACTCATTGCTAAGTTGTTCTGACACACTACAGAAGTCTAATGAGAGACTGAGGGCTTGTCACAAGCTGTCAATGGTTAAATGTGAAAGCACTGTGTCCTCTCTAATAACCCACAGGATGTCCTTATCTCAGACAGAAGGGCAGACACAGCTGAACGTAAGCTAAAGACCTAGTTGTTAGTCTCAGAATCCCAGAGATGTTTGAATGCTCAGCCAATACAAGGGCATTGTATAAAAGCCAGATTCCTGGTGGGGAAACCCGGGATCCTTAAACATGAGACAGGGCCATCTGAGTAGATGCCCCTGAGGCTGCAACCCCTGAAACCTATGAATTTACACAAATGGTACACCCTTCCCTATTAAAATCTATCACTTGTGCTTTGTTGGAAGATGCTGTAGAGGCTTCCTCCTCACAAGGCATTTCGTGTTCCTCTCAGGAACTTCCCATTTGACCTGCAAGGCTGATAACGACCAAGGCCTAAACCCAACAGAACCTGACTGGGAACATAATGGATCTGATAAGAGAGGAAAGAAATGATATGCCTCAAGAGTTGCAAGAATTTCTCAGCATTGACCAGCAAGAGCTAAGGTAGAACTTCTAGGATTGAAATTTGAGGGTATTTGATCAAGCCAGGAAGGTATATGAGCAAGAATTCATTGATTTGAGGACATTTTCTTGGGACATGGGACTTAGCACCTTATAACTTCTAGGGAATGGCCAATTCACGGCTCAGACGGTTCTAAGAGGCCTGGAAAAAAATGATGGCTACTGTCACCAAAGTAGAAATGC